TCCAGTTTAAAGGGAGCTGCATTGGGAAAACAACTTTCTAAGGTTACAATTTTTAATTTGACTTTAAATCATGTACGAGATCTCGTTTTTCCACAATGTCCATAGAATTATTTTATTACCACCAGTGGTTTCCATCTCATCAACTCCTTGTATGAAGATTTGGATCCACAATTTGAACGGTATGAGAGCATATTGAAGAAAAATGCAAACGTTATTCACGAAGAATTGTAGGGATCTCAGTCAAGGGACATCCCAAACAAAAGAGCGATTTTTCTTCTGGACGAAGGGAGTATATTTAAAATGTGAACACCTTTCAAACTTCCATTGTCAAACTTTGGATTAATATGAGGAATTAGCTGAATGCTAACAGTTTATGTTGCTTACTCTGTATAAAGCAAAGCATGAAGCACAATCATCTTGTGTCAAACTTTGGTTTAAAGCAAGTGCAATCTAATCAATGACACATTGACCACAGTTGATTTGATGCAAAATTACAAAATAATCCATGATCTGGGTGCAAAGTTGGTATAATCAACCGAAAAATCGATGAGTCACATTGATTGAAAAACCTAATGGGACTTTGGACTTTATCTTCTTCTAGGTAGTTCATGAAGCCAAAAGTGAATTCGACATCCATTTTCAACCATATTATACATCAAATGTGATTTCCCATGCTCCTAACATTGCCTCGCATCATTCAAACCAAAAGCATACTATGAAACTTGACAATATGTACTCGAGAACTTTTCAAGATAGAAAAATAAGAAATCTCGTATTCTCATTTTCAAATCATTACATATATAAATAAAATCAAATAAAATGAAGACATAAATGAAGTATAACTTGTAATGGAAATTAAGAAGAAAGAAGAAAAAGTGATTTTGATCTCAAAATATACCTTCTGAGGATTGAGTCACTTCCAGTTGAATCTCCATGGATGATCGCCCAACCCATGTAACAGCTCCCACTATTTTCAGATCAATGTCAACCCGAATTGGTTTCTTTAGAACCATTCTGTCCACTGAAGCTGTTACTAATATTAAAGGCCTTGTTGTGCTATCATCACTGGAACAATGCTGATTTAAATAGACAGGAAGGGAAAATGTGTGTGATGAATGAAAGGGTAAAGTCCGTGTCTAACCGTATAAAAAAATTAAAAAAAAAAGTAAAAATGTAAACAAAGAATACATCTTGAAAGGTAATCCCAAATGTATCGAACGCAAACGACGAGACAGATGGGATTCGAATGAGATTCTCTGAAAGATCTGTGGCCAAAACTATAGTCTTTTGACGGGATGAAACGTCAATTGAAGTCCAATCTTGACAACATTTGGACAAGTCATCTTCCAAAGTCACCCAACATGATAAGACTGATGGAGCAGAGTCAAGAACATGGTTCTGCCTAGTCAAAATAGCAAACTCCACCAAATAAGGCTCTCCAATGTTAACCTAGTAATGGGCTGACACTTAGTTTCCAACATTGCTATCTCTCTTATCAACATAATAATCCGCGGTCATTTGTTCTCCCAAAACATACAAAGCAACGTTGTAAAAGCTAGACATCAGATTCCACCTGGCTTTCCATCTGCGAATCTAGGTAATGTGGTCACGATACAATTCTAGCATCATTATCATCAACCACAGAAATTAGGTCACTTAATTATTCAGGGTCATGTTTACTATGGAAAAATCTATGCCAAACTAAGTCAGCTAACTCCATTGCCATGGCATTGCATTCAGTCGACATCATATTAGAGTTAATGCTATCAAAATGATTAGGCTTTTTCCATCTGTACCCAAACCCGCCCTCATAATTTCTAAAATCCCCAAATCATGCATTTTATTCATGAAATAATCAGCTTTAGGAGCTGCACACTACATGGCGTACATGCAACAATCTTGAATAAAAAATTATAGACTAATTATTCTGCAGAAAATAGCTTCCGATACAAAGCAAAATATGAACCACAGTAAAATGGAAATGACACATTTCATACTAAGGATGTGAACAATTTAAAGTTTGTCAATGATTGTCACGTCAACAAGCATATAAGATTATGTCTACGCACAGAATACAAAGTCCAACATATTGAAGACAAGCCTTAGCATTCTATAGTCAAGCAAAACAGTCCATTTTATGTAAAAAGTCTAAACTCGCTTTTAGTTACTTTACTTTTGTGCATTAATTAATATGTAAACAACTGATCATTTCTTCTCAATAAATGCAATCAGATTTTCACCCTCCAAACATATTAGAACTTTCAATCTCTCTCGAACTATTCACCTCCTCAGAGCTTTTCCCAATTTACTACTGCACATCGCCTCCTACATTCATACACAATTTTTTCTTTCAATTTGTTCTATATTTCATAGCTTTTTGCAGCCGAAGAAGTGAACAAGACCGAGCTTGAGTTAGTTTCTTGATCCTTTTTTTTATTTCCTCTCTGTATATTTTCCAGCTTGTTTAGCTTTCTCTCTTTTCTATTTTCTGTGTCTTTTCAAATGAATATTTCCCAGAAATTGATTACGGGAGCTCTATGCCTCTTCCCTCTCAATTTCTTCCTTTTCCATTGCTGGTATTATACAAACCGAAGTTTTCCCCAAATTCAGTTGGGACAATTGGTCCCACTGGGCCTCAGATGGCTGGGCCTCTGATTCCTCTATTTGAATTCCCAGGTCACCGGTCAAAATCTCAAAAACTCAAATCAATAACTAAAACAAGCGAGGATAGTTGATTTTGAATGAAAGACTTCAACAGGCAGATCTTTCAGTTTGGATTTTGAGGGATTGTGTACCTGCATGCCTTAAAAACGCTGTCAAATTACCATTTCTCCCAATCTATCTATGTCCTTGACATACAGGATATAACTAGGATATCGAATGCCAAATGATAAGCTGGGAGACGAAGTGAGCAAAGCCCAAAAATTACAGAGAATAAGTTTATTGCATATATATGATAATCAGCTCATGCTAAACTCAACCAAATTAAATTAAATCCAAGTACTTCAAATATAATAGCCAATTCAGAAAATGAGATAAATTCAAGATACAATTTTGAAACTTGCGAATTCAGCAATTGAATAGATGCTGAAAATCAATGACAAAATGTCAGCTGGGCAATTTCTTAAGCACCACACACAGAATTTAGGAATTGCTAATGAAGAAAAACATTAAAAAATAATAATAATAAATCTTAAAATACACGGTGCAAAAGAAGAAGAAGAATTAACTGATTCTAAATCAGTGCAAAAAATTGATTCTACCTTGAAGGATATAGTTCCAGCCAAAGCATCAAGATCTTCAAGCAGTTTCCCCATCCTGATCTCATTCCACGGATTCCTATATTGCTCCCTAAGTATATAATCATCTGAAAATTTATAAAGTATACTAGTCCTACTCTTTGATGGGCTCTTTGTGATTAATTCACTTTGTGGAGGAGCGCTTTCAGGAATGTTCGATAGCCTCTCGAAAATACTCGTTCTTGCTTCCCATAATGCATTTGTCACAGGTGAAAGGTACATTCCAGGCCATAAACTGATAGGTTTTCTAATTGAAGAGCCTGCATCAATAGGGGGGGAACTCTCAAATGGCGAAGTAACAGTGGAAACAACAGGGATTGGATCTGAATTACTGGCAAAATGATCTGACGGAGAAGCTGAAAATAATCTAATTTGAATGAAATTGAGTGGTTTTTGGGTGGTCTCAAAAGTACCAAGAAAATGGGCATGAAATGCAACATTTTTTATGCTTAAATTGTCAAAAGATGCGATTTTGTATGTGGGTTTTTGTGGGGTTGGAGAATCAAGATTGTGGGAGCAGTTGAAATCTTTGTTTTCTGGATTTACAGAAGAAGAAAGAATCTTGGTGTAAAGAAGGTTGAATCTTTGTTGGTTTGGGAATTGGGTAGATTCTGGAGTTGAAAAGTGAGAAAAAAGTGATGATGATTTTTTATGATGATTAAACAAAGGAAAAATAAATGGAGTTCTTGGAGATTTCATGGATTCATGCAACGGATTAAACAAAATATGTATTGAATATTGAAATTCAATGTTTAGCTCCAATAGACTGAAGCGGATTGCAAGAAGATGTTTAATCGGAAGTCAGAATACTGAGAATAGAGACAGTGGCCCCAATTGACCAATTCTAGGACTATTATGGAAACATATCAATAATTGTTTGGTAAAGTTAATTTTTGTTAAAAAGTTGATTATACATTTAATTTTACACATTTGTAAATTTTAATTTTTAATTACAGATTTTATTCTACTAACGATTTGTATTCACTTTTTAATCATAATTCATAAAATTTATCAATTTTCAAAATAATATAACAATTATCTCTCATATTCTTATTGGAATTTTCAAAACCACATTATGTACTCAGTTAATTGTCCCCCCCCCCCCCCCCCCCCACCAAAAAAAAAAAAAAAAATCGGCCCAAAC